CTTTCCGGACCGTGCACACACATTCATGAATGCAATGCAATGCAAATGATCATCGGTCGCTTTATTTATGATAGTTGCCTCCTCTGATGGTGTCGTTTCTACCGGATTCGGGTTATCATGGGATTCAGGACTTGGGAAATTATTGTGCATTTCCCTGTCGGGACACAGGCCGAGGGATGCAGGTCCTTCCTCCCCACTCTACGATGCTTGATTTTGCTGGGGGGAAGATCATTTTTATAAAACCCTTCTCTCTGAGAAATATGGTTCCCTCCTGAGTTTGCGAAGAATCGTGGGGGTGGGGAGGGGTGGGGCAGGGATCTGATTGAGTTTGAATCAACCGAAGTTTATGCCTCGCCAATTTAAAATAAGAATTACGGTTGTCCGGCCCTAAAAATCAAAATGCCATTTTGTAGCAGAATTCCCGCGATGCTGTGCCCTCTTGTCCACGCTCATTCTGTCGCCTTAACGAATGAAGGATCGGTACCATTACCTTATCGCATAGCGCCGCCCCCGGGCTGGGAAGCGAAATAGCGCGCTTGGCAACGGTTGCAAGGCCAGAGCCATCAATGACGCATTGAGGCAGTCGCGAAGTCTTTGAGGTAGCTATGATGCTATACTGTGCCGTGAATCCATTTGGCTTTGGATGCATAGATGGCAGAACTTCCTCTTTTCTATCCGTTTGGTTCGAAGCGAGGCGATCGAGATCCACTTTAATTGAGGCCGGAGGTGGTCTGTACAGCATAGAAAGGCAACAGGAGTTTTAGCGATTTTTCCAAGTTTACTAGGCCTGGGTAAGAGGCGAAGATACCTATTGCCTTGGGAACCATTGAAACTAGGTGCCTCATTATCTTTTTTCCGGGAAAACTGAATCCACTTTAGGTACTGGCGCTCCTCGAAGCCAAAGACCGCCTTGAGTTCATTCTGACGAGGCAGGCATAAGAGGGGAGATCTTATGTATGCATACCTGTGTGCACGTCTGTATGTGTTTTTATGCTGGGGTTTGCATTTGTGTGTGCGTTTGCAAAAGGTGCTAGAGGGCAACATACCAGCCACCTTGACAACAGCATTCATTAGGCGGGAAGTGGATAGTGAAATGCAAATATCGCCTGAGCCAAAGGAGGGGTGTTATTTGAGTCAACTCCGATTACATCTCACCAGAATTCAGTCCGACTTTTCTCGGCCTCAGTCGTTCAGACATGCCGGCAACAGCCGACTCGTACTTTGGCATCGTTTCTCTTAACCCGGGCTCTACACCCATCCCCTCCCCACACATGGAGGATGTATACGTGTGCACCCTCGCAGCCCACCCCCACCACCACCACCACCACCACTACCACTACCACTGTCATTGGCGGTTCACTAACCAATCCCTGTTTCCTCTCCCGTCGCCTACTCCCTTGCGTATGAAGGCATGAGAGGTGAGCCGTTTGAGGCGTCCAACGGCTTCTAGGGGCCTAACGTACCGACTAGGGTGTGCCACACCTCAGGCATGTTACGGCATGTTTACCAAAATAGGCTTGGGCGGATTGCCGCAAAGCAGTTGCATAATTAGTCTGCTTGTTTTTGCGCTCCGGGCCGGCCGTGTTCGCATGGCCCGCTCCGGGCGTGGACAAGACGTGCTGGCGATTGGCTCACCAATTCGAGGTCTCATTAGGAATCTGTTCCTAAGGTAACCTCTAGTGCACCTTGACGGTGCTACGCTTTTGCTTCGCTTGCCTTCGACAGCGTGAACTCCGTTCTCCAGCAGTTTGAGACGAGCCTCAGGCGATGCGCAATGTTGGAGTTGTAGCTGGTGCGGTTGATTGAATTCACTCTGGTTTAGTGGATCCTAGTGATAGTGGAGAAGCGGCGATTTATTACAAGGTTGTCTTTGCTTGGGTTGACGACAAAAGAATGTAGTTGTTGGGCTTACTTCCATTTCGAGTGGAAGTGTTGGGTGAAGAGATTCGAAGGTCGGTTCCACCAGAAG